GAAACATTTTGTCAACGAAGTGACAACATTTTTTTTTTCTAGTGTTCCAAGTATTGTAAGAAACATTCCAAATTCTAATACTATTCATCATCTCAATATTATCATATCCCTTTTCTAACCGTTTTAACCGGTTTACTTCATTTTGTTGGCAAAGTTGTTTACTAGCCTACCTTCATGATTTGCTTGATCATTTCGGATTTATTGTTTTGCCTCACTGTTATTGAAACATTGTGAATACCATAACTTTGAGATATTGTTTCATTTGTTGCTCCAAGCGGCAAAAAATATAAGGTAGTAGTACTAGGTCCAGGTAATGAGAACCCATAATAATCGCCTCCCATTCCAACCGGATGTACTGAAAGGCAGTATTGTTATCCAGAAATACATCCCATCGATCATATCCTCATCAGTATCATCTAATGGGATAAATTCAATCAGCAATATGTTTAATTAAGAAATCACAGAATTATTAAACTGATTGATATGAGAAATGTAAACAAACCTAAGAAGTAATCAATAGCAGATTTGGTATCAGATACGTAAGCGATAATTGATATCTTGTCTAAAGAAGTGATATGTATTTGGTTATTTCCCAACATATGCAATCCACCAGTCGTATTATCCGTTACCAAGTTGTAAAACTTGTACTGCAAAACATTGGAACGTTGTTGTTGAGTATCACGTAAAGTTTCATGTCGTTCGATTAATGATATCGGTATACGGTAAATTTCAAATCCAAAGAGTATAATGTTTCCGAATAAAAACAATAAGTGTAAAATGGATGAAAAACATGATAACGTACTTCGTAAGAGGCACGAATGACCACTTTGTCCACCTTTTTTCGAATTGCTGAACTGCCATTTTTGTTACTCAAAATATTGTACTCAATATTTACCGTAACATTTTTTGTCTTGTCCATCCCAAAAATATAACAAGCAGCTTGGCCCAATTCATTACCCTTTTGTGGTAGCACGAAAATGAATTCAGTACCCCATGAATCTGCTTCATATCCTTTCAAACATTCATTCCATCGAACTGAAAATTCCGATTTTTCAAAGTTTTATAATAACCTGAAAATTGTGACCAAAAACAAAGGACAATAAAATTACCATAATTACCCTTCTATCGGGAAGAAGACAATAATAATTGAAAGAGTTAAAGAATTGTTGAAATTGAAAAATTGATCGTTTGGAGCAGATCAATGAGGAAAATCTGTATGTTTTCAAAAATTCATCTGATATATGCAATGAAGTAATAAAGTAAATTTTATTTTAAGATTTTAATTATCAATTAACAAATTATTTCAGTTTCTCGGTGGTACTCGAATTATGGTACTTGAACTTTTCCTGTTATATAGTTGTTAGGAATTATTTGAAATGCCGGGTTAGATAATAACCTAGATAAGTGTCCGGAATACTGGATCATATAGTAACTTAGGTATCCTCCAGTTCTCATCTTCATATCTACTGCGACATTTATTTTATTCATATTTCTATTGGAATAATTTGTGCGGTTAAAAAATAATCTAAGAGACTCGGGCAGAACCAGTCATACTTTGACTTCAGAGCAAACCTTTTATGTTTTTTTTAGAAGAGAATATCATAATATTTCGTTTTTTTTTTTTTCACAAAACCATTTTCAAGAATTTTCATTTCTTTTTTAATTAGTATTCTCAAACCAATCAATAAATCAACACGTTAGTCGATAAATTAATTGATAAATTAATTCGTTTATTCAAAATCTATCCAGTCGATGAATTAAATCATTATAAATAAACTGGATAGTCCAGAAATAAGAAGCTACAGAACGAATTACCACAAAATGCAAATAAGATCAGTTCGAATACGAAACGTTGACAGCTATTGCGTGAAAACATTCCGTTCAAATTAAATCACTCGTTATCGTTAATGAGTTGATATGATAAAAATTGATAGAAAAAGAGCAATGATAATTATTTGTTTGTTTTGATACTTTTATACAGTTTATAGAAATTTACATACAAGTTTTTTCTGCACTCTTTCTTATCGGAGTAGTAAGTATGAAGTTGAATCGGTTGTTCTAATTGTTGAAAAATCCGCAGGACAATCGTCTTGACGAATTATTACGTCATTTCCAAAAGATTATCATCTAAAATTCTTTTTGTATTAAAGTTAATTCAGGCCATTTTTACAATTATTCTTAATTTTCCGATCTTTTTTTTTTCGAATCATTGAAAGCAATCTGTATTTGAAATGAATTTTAGTTTCTGTTGGATATTTCATTTTAAATTTTAAATGCACTATACTTCCTACAGTCCCTTCCTTTCTTAACTTAATTATCCAAATATTTTTCAATTTACACTTTGTCTTTAATCATTCTATTTACTTCCATTATGTTCGCAAAGTTGTCGCAAAACTTTTCGCAATTTTAACAAATCCACAAAAATTTATTTTGTTACCTTTCATTTGTAATGCAAATTGAAATTTTACATTTTCATCCCTTATCAATGCTTAAACATTATTACATTAACACTGTGTACATTTCTTTTTTTGCTGTATTCCTCGGTTGCTTTGTCGATTATGGTGAATGCGGTCTTGTCCAAATGGTTCAAAGGATGACCTACCTCGTATTACTTAGGATTACTTAACCTCTCTACATCTTAAAACAATTTTGAATTTGTAATAAGTGACGGCCAATTTCTTTGTTATCGCACAAGTATCAAACTATTCCGAATGGTACGCGATGACAGTATCAACTGTTTAACTGGTGATAATGTTATCTTGCTTGATATACTGACGACAGTATCATCTATTTCATTGGTGATAGTATCACCTTGACTGATACATAGAAATAAGAAAAAAGGAATTGCGGACGAAGAGAATCTATCTCAGGCAATGGCTGGCAATCCGAGGTTAAAACCTTCGCTCCGAAAACGATTCTACTATAATCTGATGCATGGACAAAGTCTATCGTTATCATTTGCCTTATTTTATGATCACTTCATAGAACAATTCAAATAAATTTCTTTTAAAATTCTTAAGCTATGTAAATTTGCAATATAATTAGCATTGATTTAAAAAATATCACCAATTAGTCGGAGTTCAATGATTATTAAACAAAATTTATAGGTTTTACGAATATTTATTTATTTTAATGAAAAAAGTACAAAAAGAACACATTTCACTAATTTAACTATCATTACTTCCATTATATCAGTTCTTCTAGTCGTTATCACTTGTCAGTAATCGAATTTCATTGTCTCATAATAGTTTACAGTAATTAGCAATGCAAATATTGAAGTACAGTATGATATGGAATGACTGTCCTAGGAAACATCAAATCTTCCTATCATACAAAATTTTAGTTCAGTATGAAAAGCAATAGTCTTTTTATCTTTGACTTAGTTGAACTTATCATTGAAATGCTACTAACCACATACTATTACTGCCAACTTAATCATCCACTGATTGTCGCCTTCTCCATTCAGAGAATTATGACAAGAATGAACTCATTACCACTTTTTTGGGTCCATTAATGATGATCGGTGCATCTTTTGTACTGTCCAATCGTCGTTTCCTTTGTTTACGTTATTCATCGCTATATCTCTCATTGTCATTTGTATCGAATGATCACGATCGATGAACTTGGAAGATCCGGTTGTTGATTACGCCCAAACAGACTGTGACAATTAAACATGGTATCGTTAAAGAGAAAATAAAATGAAACTTTATAAATTCAAAAGTATGATTCATATTATTTTTCATTTCTTCCTAGTATGATTCATATTATTCTTCATTTCTTCCCAGTAATATTCATTGAAATTGCAATAAGTTATAGTTATAATCATTCTTTCTGCTCAATCTTAATAATTGTTTCATTTTTTTAATCCGATATAATGGACTTGACAGTGTTAAATCGATATCTTTTGTGAGATCTATCTTTTAAATTGTGCCAAAAAATGTCGTATAGAAAATAATAAATAAAGAATAATGCAAAATGACAAGTAATATTCTTTTTTTTTTTTTTTCATCCCAAAGTTCCTAGCAGAACAAAACTAATTGATTTTGCATTTCCTGCTGCAATTTTCATTCCTAAATTTACCATTTTTTCTCCTCTGCTTTAAGCAATTCAAAAATTTCAAAAAAAGGAAAAAATTCATTTCAGTTCAAAGAATTTAAAGCA